TTGGATAGCTCCAAGGTGTGCAAGGAACTATTCATGTATCCATAGAAGCTCCATGCCCCTTCTCCCCTACCTCGCCCTGCGCATCTCTTCCACCTGACAGTCCATCTGTATCCTTTGTGATATCCTTTATAATAAATGAGTACACAGAAGTAAGGTGTTTCTTTACGTTCTGTGAGCCATCCTAGCAAATTAATTGAACCTAAAGAGGAGAACTCTGATTTATAGCTGGTCAACCGGGGACTAACAACAGGCATGTGAAGTGGAGACAGTCTTGTGGAATTGAGCCCTTAACTTGTGGGAACGGATGCTGACTCCTGGTAGATAGTGTTAGAATTGGGCTAACTTTCAGGACACCCAGTTGAGGTCCATTGGAGAATTGCTTGGTAAACCCTGACACATCTGGTATCAGACTTGAAGTATTGTTTCCAGTGTTGAGTGCAAGAGTAGGAAAAATAGTTTAGTTATTCCTATCTCTTTCATTTGGCGACACCCTTAGATTGGCACTCACCACTTCCTCTTGGATTCAAAACCCTGCATTCTTGTATCCTGGGTCATTACGGAGCTAATATTGCACATCTAACCTCTTAGCCTGTCCTAGTTCACTGTGCCTCCATTCCTCTACCTGTTGGGCATTGCCAAAAAATTATGTAAGGCAGAAATTCAGTGAGGGAAAGAAGGGCAATGTCCTGGAGATGGAAGGAAGCATCAAGGTCAAACCAGAGAGGCAAAGTTACTGGTATGGAGACTCTCCCAGGTAACCTGCAGAGCTCAGACTTCCTCCCTCTCTTTATGGTGCTCTCTCCATTATCTGGCATCCATCTGTGCTCATGTGGACAATATTTGTGCATAAGCATTTTTACGAGACCATCTGCTGCCCTTGAAACTCACATCACAGGGTCCATGTTGTAGAAAAGGCTCTTTAGCTAGCAATGATGGTGTCCAGGACAATTCTATGTTTTACCATCCTTGGAGCCATTGAGAGGGACTTGCAGGACTGACCCATCTCATCTTTGCATCTTTCAAGAAATTGATGGGTAATCTAAAAGGTGTATGTTTACAGACCTGCAGTTATAGTATCAGAGTTTCCTCTATGTGGTGGAGATTATGGGTCTGAGACCTGAAAAGAAGTGATCCACTGAAAGGATAGGTTGTCTCAGCTCCTGGTGCTGACTCAGAGAGGAGCCTCTGGGCTGACTTAACCTCTTTGCTGTTCACTCTCATTCTGTCTCCACCCAAACAACATGGTAGATATCAGCAGTACTTCCCATAATTCCCGACGAGGAGGCTGTGTGCAACAGAGTCATCATAGGCTATTCTGAGAAATAAACCTGTCAAGGCATAATTGCTCACTCATCTTAGCCCCATGCATCGTGGAAAAGACCACGTGCCAGAATTGGGAGTCTCGTTTTCTTCCTGTCTAGCACCATCTTTTCAGGAGCAGCAATTCCAGAGACAAAACCTGGGGAGATTTCAGCACCACCGGGTGTGCCCTCTGAACAGCAGGAGTGGGCTTCCAGCTGGAGCCCAGATGAAGGTTAACTACAGGACAATTTACCAGTAAGTGGGAGTGGTATTAGCAATTACATCCTGGCTGAGAGTGACTAATTGCTTCCACCTGGGAAAGCAGATCCAGCCCCAAAGGAAGGTGAAGGTCATCGCTGATCCAGGGTTAGAGCTACAGGAACGGCTGCTCCACAATGCCACACATGGTTCTTGCTGCAAGGTCTTTCGCAAAGAACACTGACTGCCTACATCTCTTGTCTGGGATGCAGTTCTCTTTCTCCCCATTCTCCTAGTTTTGTTTTGTTTGCTTTTCCTGATTTCTAACATCTGACCTTGTCTGCGCTACCTTCTGCATCTCTCTTTGTCTTATTGAGTCCCCTGGCATATTTCCTCCCTCCTATCTGTCATGGACATGTGAACTAGTGCTGGCCAATGAGGCAGAAGTGAGTAGCTCCGGGCTGTACTTCCTGTAAGTCTGTTGTATTATATATGTACCTATCAATATATTTGTATATACAAATAGGTATACAACAGCTGACTCAGCTGACACATAGCTTTTGCTTTATTCTTACCCCTTCCTCCTGACCAGAATGGACAAAAGATTCCCAAGGATGCAGCATTCATATTCTGGCCTCCAAAGAGAGTCACACGAAAAAGATGCCAGGGCAGAATAATAAAAGGAGCCAGGCCCCTACAGGGCATTATGGACTATTCAACCAGTTCTGGACTTTCACCTGAGATTTACTGTAAAGTGAAAAAAATAGCCTCTATCTTGTTAAGCTACTGCTGTTGGCTTTCTGCTATTTGCAGCTAAACTCAGTCCTAACAGATACATAAATCCTTTTCATTTTTCCAGAGGGTCTTCAGAAATACTGCCTTGGGTATCTAACTATTACTGACTGAATTGTGCCCCTCTAGAATTCATATGTTGAAGTCCTAACCCCTGATAAGGGAATGTGACCATGTTTGGAGATAGGGTCTTTAAAAAGGAAATTACATTGAAATGAGCTCATGAGGGTGGTTCCTAATCCAGTGTGATTGGTGTCCTTATGAAATGAGGAAACTGGAGCACAGACACATCCACAGAGGGGAAATGATATAAAGAGACATAGGAAGAAGATAGTCCCTGAGAAGAAACCAACCCTGCCAACACCTTTATCTCTGACTTCCAGCCTCCAGAATCACAAGGAAGGTAAATTTCTGTTGTTTAAGCCACACCCTCCATTGTAGCTTATTTTAATGGCAGCCCTGACAAACTAACATAAAGACCTATATTTCCTGACCATGGGATCCTCCATGGTCAGGAAGGGGCTTAGCAGTTGGACCACCTGTATTAAAAATGCCTGAGATTCCTGTTAAAAAATAGGGTAGAGTTCAGGAATCTTTATTTTAACCAGTTTCTCTGGTGATTCTTAAGTGCTCTATAGTTTGAGAATCACTAGTTCAGTTCTTTAAGGTCTTAGAGAACACAAATGAGATAGAGGAGAAGTTGACAGGCCAGTGACAGGCTGGGGAATAAGAAGTATTTGAGGGACAGACAAAGACTGACCTGAGACCAGGAGAGAGAGAGACACTTCAGAGGAACAGTATGAGCTAAGACTCCAAGGTGGGAAAGAAATAGGTGTGTTTGGTGGCAATGATAATAGTAATAATGATAGTAATCTCAACTAGCATCTTCATGATGTCTTATAACTTACATAGCAATTTTAATTATATTATCTAATTTAAATCTTCAACTGTAAGGTGAGATTTATAGGTAAGGATTACAGGTGGAGATTGCCAGTGAAGTTGCAGGTCACCTCAACCCAGTGAGGAAGTTAATATTTTATTATCTCCATTCTGCAGGGGAAGACACCAAGTCTACATACTAGAAACAGTATATGCTAGTTGTCAAGTTCTCCATGGTTTCTTGGGGACAACCAGGAAGCCCTGATGTGAGCACGACTCCACTTCATGCTGCAAGTGGCCAGAAGCCATGATCCCCTAAAGCACTGCAACTCTGCCTGCCTTGACAATGGAGTAGGGAACAGAATAAAATAATCCTATAAAATGATCTCTTGAGAGAGTGATTGGCTAGAGAGAAGATAGGAAACAAAGGAAGAGAGTCGCTTCCTCTCTTGCACTTGTGTATTTTGGACCTACTTTTAAAGGGTCTATAGTGAAGAGAGCCCATAAAGCAGGTGGTGCTGATGAAAAGAGATGGGACTTATCACTCATTCTATCCCATTAAAGAGGTACCCTCTTTTCTTACCACCTTCAAACAAGCCCACTTGGGAATTTGGGGGTAAGGCAGGACTTCACCTTAGAGACAAGCATTCTTCCCTTGCAGGTATGTACAACAGTAAAAAGGCAACTGGGGAATGATGATTGAGCACGAGGCATCCTTGTCACTGTGCTGAGGCCATGGCATTTGGACAGAATAGACCCCAACACTGCTCAAGGGATAAGTCCACTTGTCTTTCTGTTTGTCCATCTATATATCCATTCTTGCTCCTTACTATAAGTATTTGATGTTGTGTATAAATGCCCACAATATAAAAGAATGAAATAAATACTCAAGGGAGTTATTAGTTAAGGAGACTATGAGAGGAAAATATGGCAATAAAAATAAAGGAAAAACTAACATACACACCATTGAATGCAGACCATTAGATCTGGTACTGTGGCAATTGAGTGCTTCAAAATGTGACTCTGGGTTTTCCAAGAGCCAAAACAAAGACAGGATAAAACACATGGTTACAAGAAACAAACTGCCTATAATAGGAAGAAATTTTATTAAAGAATGCCAGTTGTAAGCAGAAAAGCAGAACTCAGCTCCTCCTGATGATGAGGCCCAAGAGGAATTTCTCCCATGACTCCTCATGAAGAGGACACCATGCTCTAGAGGAAAACATTCTTAGCAAAATCCCCACAATGACATTTGTTAGACTATTAATCTGAGCCTCTCAATGGCATAATGCCAAAGCATAGTACAGGAGAGGCAAAGCGGCCTGCATGGGAAGCATGGTGATGGTGTTTTGAAAAAGGGTAACATTTACAGTTCCTAGAGCTGAGAGTCTTAACTTTGAGAAGCTATATGCCCTTGGAGACTCTTTTAAAAAGCTTATAACCTGTACAGATAAACACGTATATGCACGAACTACAAAACTTTATATATAATTTCAGAGGGAGGTTACAGACAACTCACACTCCAGAAGAAGACCATTTATGGTGCATGAGTTAAGAGGCACTGAAAAACGAGGACTGCCTAAAAAGATGATGCCAGGAAGACAATTGAAAATGTTGCTGGATTGATAGATTTGATCCTATATTTCCTGACACTATTTTATGCATTCCTAACAAAGTTTTCCTTTGAAAATTCACTTACCTAAATGGAATTTCCCTCTGATACAACAGCAGTGATAAAATATATATCTGGGATTTCCATGGACTAGCCATACTTTTCCTTATTCCTCCCACAAAGTAACTAAAAATCCTGCATGTTATATATAAAACAGATATAAGAAAACTCTGAAAAATGAAGAAAAGAAGGGAAACTGGCTAGGGACTTCAGAACCTAAGGAACAACATGGGGGTAAGTTTCGTGAATTTCCTTTTTGCTTTGTACACTCCTATTTGGAACTGAAAAACCAGCAACCCAGAAATACCAATAGGTAGGCGAGGATTAAACAAAAGTCTTCTTTTTCTAGCCAAACAAGTAGGAAAAGAACAACCTAGAAAGACATAAAACTTTTAGACAATAACTGCTCTACTTCAGTCAAACACTACAGAAAAGACTGTAATCCCACCTCCACCCATGCCAGCAACAGTAGAGTAGGGAGCCTAGACTTACAGTCTTGTTAGAGTGAGGAACCCCAGCTTTTCTGCTGGGGTAATAGCAAAGAAGAGCAAGTAGGGGGCCTGAACATCAACTCAGAATTACCTACCAGGGGATAGTAAGCCACACTCTGCTGCCCACTTAGTGTCAGTATAGAATATAGAAGGAATAGTAATGAGTTGCTCCAACCCCTCCCAACCAGAGACTTATCAGTGGAGGTCTAGCAGGGAGCAGAACTCCCATCTCTGTGACAAGAACCACACTCCTTGGGTGTAGCAAAAGAACCCAAGTTGGAAACCTGGACTTTTATTTGTAGTCAGCAGCAGCAAGATGGCACAACCCCTTCTCTACCTGGATGGTATTAAAGAAAGCTGGCAAAAACAGGATGTTTAAACAAAATTCATAGTCTCATAACCCAAAATATCCAGGTTTCAATAGAAAATTACTTGTCATACCAATAATCAGGAAAACCTCAAACTAAATGAAAAAAGGCAACCAATAGATGCCAACAGCAAATGTGGGAGAGATGTTAGAATTATCTGACAATGATGTTAAAGCAGCCATCATAAAAATACTCAAATAAGCAATCATGAGCCCACTGGAAATGAAATTTACATAGAATGTCTCAGTAAAGAAATAGGAGCTATCAAAGAGAACCAAATTGAAATTTCAGAAATGCAAAATACAATAATTAAAATAAGCTTAATAAATGGGCTCAGAAGAATGAAAGAGTCCAAGGAAGGAATTCATGAAATGAAAGATAAAACAATACAAATCATCCGATCTTGACTGGGCACAGTGACTCATGCCTGTAATTACAGCACTTTGGGAGGCCAACACGGGCAGATCACTTGAGGTCAGGAGTTCAAAACCAGACTGGCCAACATGGTGAAACCTGATACCTCTGTTCTTCTAAAAATACAAATAAAAAATTAGCCAGGGCATGGGTGTGTGTGCACTTAATCCCAGCTACGTGGGAGGCTTTGAGGCAGGAATGTTTAGAACAGGAGGTGGGTTGCATGTAGCCGAGATTGCACCACTTGCACTCCACGCTGTAGGTGACAGAGCAGACTCTGTGTCTCAAAAAAAAAAAAAAAAAAAAAAAGAAATCACCCAATTAA